ATGCCTGGGAATAACCTGGAGTTCGACCTAAAACTAAGGGGCTCGGGTATTTTTTCGTGAGAACCGACTTTTCATGTCAAATATACAGACATGGCCTATAAATAAACCACGCGTACACACTGTAACAACGTTGTGAGTAGGCCTCAGGCCAGCCAGGTAAATATTAATATGCGCAACGTCCCTTGGCCGAAATCTAGCACTGTTCGATGGAAGTGAAGACGAACAGATCAGCCCAAAGGATTGCTAGCCGCAGGTACTCGGGTTGTGTCTTGGAAAAGCTGGCGAACTTCGGTTATATGTGAAGAGGTTGACTCCGGTCGACGTGCCAGATTGGCTATGCAGGTGTCAATTGGTGCATCGCTCCGATCGAAATCACATGCAGATAGCCGCACAACTGCGCACAACCAGTAATCGGGAGGAATGTCAGAATAGTTTCCTTCGCTAAACCCTCATATTCTCGCTCCAGACGGCAGGGGCCTGAGATTCGATATCGGTTTTAGTCGGCTACTGATCGTAGCCTTTTGCCAGCTGAAATACTGACGTCTACGTTTAAAATATCGTCAGGCAGACTGAACAAACCGGCGAAACGTGCGCGCTTCGATTGCGTGTCACATAAACCGGTCTCTGGCTTTGGTAGAAGAAAAGGAGGGAGACTAAATGAGACATCTGTGGCTTACTGGAATATGCCAATCACCAGGACTTTAAACCGGACCTGGAACGACGGGGCACTACCACGTCAGAATGATGCTTGTCCAAAAGCGGGCAACCTGACATGACTTAATTATATAGAGATTAGGCTGTACGATAAATATTATTGCAACCATTCTTAATTAATATGTTCGGATAGAAAACACATTTCAGAATTTCAGTTGAGATTTCATGAGTTAGGAAATTTACTGTATGAGGGTTCGAAACGTTTCTCATCAAGGCAGAATTCCTCAACTGGACGATGCCATTCAATAGATGTGATCTTACTAGTTGTAGAATGCTAGTGGAGGCTACTGTGATCGTTCGCAGTTTGCTTAGAGTCCAAGCGATATTAAAATCTGCGATGATCAGCAAAGCCTGTGAAAACATTTCGACTCACTTAACACACTTGCTGTCCTTCACTGATAGAATATTTTTGTACAACCGTCGGTGTAATTATAAAGCCTTACATCGGTGACAACCAAGGTGGCAATTAAATTTAACGGAATCGGTCTTCATCCATTAATTTCTAAAAGGCGGTTACTCTGGTGATAGTTTATTTTATCTGCGATTGACATGATTCAGTCAGTGAGTGTGTTTACGGAGTGCGTGAATTCAAATGTTCTTGTTGAGAATTGCTAGAGAGAAAGGGCAATTTAGTAAACAGTTCTGTATCAGACGCCGTTTTGCATGAAGAATTTTTAACCCATGTATCATTCGCTGTAGAAAAGAAGGATACGACATTGCAAGTATGCCTTATCTCAGCGCTTTGGTACACGTTTTGGAGGCCCAAAGGAAAATCACGTTGTTTATCCTGGTAGCAACCGGTAATATCTTAAATGAATGTCAAGCTCTGAAAATAGTCTGGAAAGGCCTAACCAATTGGTGTTTTTAAAGTGTCTGAGGCAAATTTGGTGGTGCTCGACTGTAACTTGATTATATAGGTCGATAAGTGTTGACACGAACCTGATGACATAGTATTACGTAGGATGCAATAGCCAGCGCATAATAATTTTAATAATCAAGGGAATTTAATACAGTTACTAATTACATACTATTAAGACTCTTTTGTCCTTCACGGTTCATTAGGACATAAAGTTAAATATATTCATCCCAATTTTATCAAAGGCAATTCCCTAAAAATCTGGATGCGTCTTTCAATGAAATAGAGCGATAATGATGGTTCATCATACAGATGTAGGTGAATAGGGGCATTTCTTGTAGTTATTGATTACATGCATGTCGTCCCTGCCCAGAGGCGATGGACAAGAGGAAAACAGAAACACTTCAGAGTCATGTACAAAAATTTCACTCGTTGGACTGATGGGCCTGCTTCGCCTGAAGATGCCTCATTTTTGCACGCATTTTCTTGGACTCCAACTTTTTTGCCTCAATCATCGCATCTAGTTGGTCCACTCGTTGCCGTAGACGTCCTGCTTCCTTCTCCAAAGCGTCAACATTCAGTAGAAGTTCGATGTCTTCGGTGCCATGCTGGCGACCCGCCTCAACAAGCTTCCTTGTCTGACGTACAATGGCCGTTTGCAGTTCAATCAACTGATTTGACTCCGGTCGTTCTCCGCGTATGGGATAAAGCATTTCAGCCGTCTTCCGTTCCTCCTCCGCAATGTTGACTGGCCTAGCCGTCGACGGATTCGGCGATGTTGCGTCCGCAGTGTAGAATTCACAGTCACTTTTGCAAACGCTCTCATTTACAGCCATTTCTGGTTACTTATGAGCAAGAACTGAGCACATGAAGCTAAAATCAATAAATTTAAATGAGTGCCTCGGCGCAGTTCGCTTTGACTGCAAGTCACATGGGCAAATAGGGAATAGCCAATCACAATTTAGCAATGTGACTTCACGTTAAAAGAGCGTCTAAATTCCATTTTGAATGAATACGCGTGATTCTGGTGTGCTCTGAAAACCTGAGTTTAAAGCCCACTAAGGCCATCCATTATGAGTAGCAATCAATAATTGCGGAATGTTACTGAGAGAGATACGGACGCAGGAACGGCCAATTCTGTTTTATTTGATGAAGTCGTTAACCACAGGTGAAGGTATAAGAGGCAGAACATTTCGTCATTATATCACTGGAGAAAATAAATGGGTTCCATGCAGTAGACCTATACTCGTGGTCGTGGAATAGCGAAGCGCCGAATACTTTAAAGTGCGAGATGTGCCCAAGAACTGTTTTTTTCTGCCAGAAGGGACTTCGGCAAGAATGACCTGTATGATCGCGTAAACGGGACACGGGAATAGGAGCGCCCTGTCCACTTAACATAGGTGGCTTTGCGATAAGTTTCAGGAAGGGTGAATAGTCCATTGTTTTAGCCCTAACGCTAACCCTACCATACAAACTAAATCACAGCCTTACCCTTAACGCAAACCCTACAGTTAATACGAACCCAAACCTTCAGTCTTACCATAATCCTGACCCTAATCCCAACTGCGACCTTAAACCTAATCCCAACTTACTCCTAAACATAATTTCCCTGGAATTTGGCGCATAGCCATGTGCACTGTGGGTGGTTCCTTCTCCTGTGTTTGGGCGGCCGTACAAGTCATTCCGAAGAAGAAGATGCGATCACTGGAACAAGGACTTTATTTTCCTGAC